ATGTATACATTCGTTATGAGGGTGTGGTCTTTCCCCAAACACAACACACCCTCATGACAAATATATACGAACTATCTTTCCGGTCTGATGCAGCCAAAAATAGGGTGCGTCGTGTGCGGGTAAGCGCTCGCTGTGTATGCTCGTGTAAATAGCACACAGTGTACATAGCATACAAAGAGATGCCTAGGCAATGAGAAGGAAATGAAGGGCGGCCTGAAGCGGGAGACATGGGGGCATCAGTTTAAACCACCAGCACCTATGGCGATGGCCTTCCTGATCCATGGAGATTCCAACTGAAATTTGCCAGTTGGGAAGAGACCCGTTGAAGGACGAGGAAGCGAGATGGAGGATGTGACGAAACCATGGTTTGTAAAATCAGACTGCCTTATTGATAGCAAGAGGAGGAGACAGGAGCTGCATGTTATGGTAATGGCAAGGAAGACAAGGGGAAGCAGGACCCAACTGTAAAGAAGGAACAAGAGATGGAAAAGGAATGAGAAAAGTAAACGCCGTTATATGTTCTGTATCACCTTTTGGTGCTGAACCGTGCTGCTTTGTTACACGGGCAGGCTAGCCTGAAGAAATGGATATGGAAAGGGAGAAAGGAGAAGGGGACCATATCCAAGGAAAGGATCAAATCAATGGAGATGGCGGTATAATGTTGAACTAGGCTGTGTACCATGAAACTGATCAGTTCCATGTTCTATTGTCTCCAACGCTTTGCTGAATGGGTCGAATATGGCTGTGATGCTGGGTGGGTTTATTTTATGACTCCAGCATAGGGCATGTTGACCAGAGAGAAAACAATCCAAATGAACGGTGGTGGTGATATCACATGAAATTGGTCACTGGTAAATAAGACAGAGTTATGCCGTCAAGACGAAAACTGGACAGGTTTGCGAGGCTGGGTTGACGTGGATGTTTCTTCCCTCAGCTCAGAATACCTTGGATGTGAGTTGGAAGTTTATGTTCCTTTTCAGCAGCTTAGAAGACCAGGAGCCATGTCCTACTAACATGCATTAAATTTACAGCTTCAGTAGATTGTGACACGAGTGACACACTATTGCCATTGGATCTGACTGATCCTACGCCTACGCCCAAACCATGGTGGTTTAAAAAGACTTATTCATAATGTTAAAGAAAATTCCAAATAGTCGAAAAAAAAGAAAAAGTCTGCTAACACTGTTGATGAGCAAGCGAGAATTTCCCGCCCATACGACGATGGTCTTTGTCTTCAGTATACAGGGCAGTATGCTGAAAACAAAAATTGCCTTGGTCCTCCTCTTGCTCATACCTCTTAAGAAAGCTGTGGTTGGTGTGTCAGTTGTCAGTGCAATGGACCTACCTCGAATCAACACCGAAACTCACACAAACGCAGCAGGTCATTCACATGAGAGTTCACACCTGAAGCCACGAGATGGAACCAGAAACAGTGCACCAAAGAACTGCGCAGAATTATTATATTATACAACGAAATTGTGCAAGGAACATGAGTATGGACGAAGCACAGAAATCCAGAATGCAAAATCACACTGAAGTCCAAGTATTCAAAGCCAAAGCAGATAGCAC